GGGCTGGAACTGGCTTGAGACATTATTATTTGAAAGAGACAACAAAGAAAGGAAAGCAGCTTAGAAGAAACAGCAGCCATTATAATTGCCCTTTGGGAATGAGTGGTAACAAAACCGAAGATTGAAGCTTCAACATGACGAAGCTTTAACAATGACGTGATTGGGAAGAAGGCCACCCAGTTTGCTATAACGTTATTGGTGAGTTTGAGAACAAGGAGTTGTAAAACAATACGTTTTCTGACGAGAAGCGCAACAAGTTCATCAGATAATAAGTATATTGTTATTTTATTTAATCATAGTTAGTTGTAACTGTGGTTAGTTAGTTGTAATTGGTTATGGAACTTTACTCTTTTTTCCCTTTTTCATGTTTGTATTGTACTGCATCACTGATGTAAGGTTTCTTCTATTGATTCAGTAAAGTGATTTCCTTACTGTAAGATGATATCAGCTGAAAATTAGAATTCCGCTCATTCGTTCTTCTTCTGGCTGTTCTTGCTGTTTGTCAGCTTCATACCCATGGCGTCTGAAGCGAATCCTTCAACCATCGAACCAAATCCTTCAACCACTGGAGTGAATGCTTCAGTGCATGTACGTTCTCAGGTCGAAGATCCTGCTAGCCCTTTCTTTCTTCACCATTCTGACAATCCTGGGCTTGTCGTAGTCTCTCAGCCCTTGACTGGTGACAACTATAATTTATGGAGCAGAGCCATGAAAATTGCCCTATCGGTTAAAAACAAATTGGGGTTTATTAACGGTTCTATTGCCAAACCTAGTGATGCTGATCTTATTAACGACATTGTTATTTCCTGGATTTTGAATTCAGTCTCCAAAGAAATTTCCAGTAGCATCACCTACTCTGGTTCGACTCGTGATATTTGGGTGGACAAAGCAATAGACCAAGAATCTTTCAGTTGCGCCGTGATCTCACAACCCTCACTCAAATCAAGCTTCCGTGAGTGTGTATTTCACAAAACTTAAATGGGAAGAGTTGAGCAATTTTTGCCCCTCTTGTGATTACGGTCAACACACCTGAAATTCTGAATCATTAACCTTTAAGAGGAAGGTTATACTACTAAATCTTAACTGTTGATTTTTGCTAATTTAATGGTTATAGTTTATTGTAAATTAATAAGTATGATCTCATAAATTATAACTGTTAGATTAACAAAATCAACGATTAAGATTTGATAGTAATATGTAGTAAGAAAAATAGGTAGTAAGTATAACCTTTTCGTCTTTATACATGGATTTTGGGCGAAATTATTGAGTGCCTTAATTGCTTGTTCATATTTGTCATTGAATATTTATAATTGATAGCTTTTAAACGGTTTTTTTATTTATGTGAATAGATAATAACGGTTTAAGGATTGCGAGAGGAAATAGAAAATATAGTGAAAAGGAGAGAGGGAAAACGGTAAAAATTCAAAACTTTGATTCCCTCGCGGGCCAAAATGAATTTTCCAATGACAAAACCTTGTTAGGCGATACCATTGGCCTTCAAATGATTGGCAAACAAAAGCAGCCTTCTTGCTCGACGCACACCATGTGAATCTCCCATTTTACTTCAAATGCTTGGCGAAACTGATAAAAGCTTTGTAATTTTATCCTCGATCATCACTGCTCGCACGCCAAACCTTCATTTTCGTTCTTCATGTTTTTTCTCTCTCTTTCTATTCTTTCATTAATTCATTTTTCCCCAGATTTGTAAAATCTCTCGACTAGATCACGTCGATACGCATTTGACTTTGTTTTTATCGCTCTCTTGCTTTGGTCGTCGAAAGGTACAAAGTTTGTTTTAAAATTCAATATTTATTTCTCTCATCTATTTTGGTTTCCAGAATCGAAGGTGGAAACTCAATGCCTGGTTCTGTTTTCTAACCCCGAGTGGTGTTTTTTAACGTTTCAGAATCACTAAGGAAAATCTATCATATTTTTCATGTTTTTTGATGTTATTACTTTACCTTCTATTAACTTTTTTTTTGATTTTTGATTTTTTTAATGTTGCCGTAATGAAGTTTCAAATGCAAAAGTTTACAACGAAGATAGTCGATATGATGAAAGCAGAAAGGTTATACGAGTCTCAGGGTGGTCCAATAATTCTATCTCAGGTAGATTAATCCAGTAACTTGCTTTATATTTTCTAGTAATTTTTTATTTTTTTTGAAGAGTTATAACCTTGTTACTCATTGAGTAAAAATGGAGATATATACTGAAAGTATTTCCTTATTTCACCATTGTTTTTACTCAGATTGAAAATGAATATGGACCTATGCAGTATGAAATTGGTGCTCCTGGTAAGGCCTATTGTGATTCCAATATAAATTTTTTGCAGATTAACACTTGCAACGGCTTCTATTGTGATTATTTCTCTCCAAATAAGGCTTACAAACCAAAGATGTGGACAGAAGCTTGGACTGGCTGGTATAATAATATGTCGCTTGTATTTGGTGCCTTGTTACTTCTTAGGTTTTCCTAGGAATGAGAAATATACAAGCTAAGAGTATTGCCTGAATGTTCATTACATGCGTTTGTTTTGTGAACTTAATAGGTTTACTGAGTTCGGAGGTCCAGTTCCTCATAGACCTGCTGAGGACATGGCATTTTCAGTTGCACGGTTTATACAGAAAGGGGGATCATTTGTCAACTATTACATGGTAACTTCAGTGTTTGTTGATTTCAATGTGTCGATCCTTCCTTTCTTCATTCAATCAACTAAATCCCCTTTGTTTTGTTCATTCCAGTATCATGGGGGAACTAATTTTGGTCGAACTGCTGGTGGTCCATTCATTGCTACCAGCTACAATTATGATACACCTATTAATGAATATGGTATGCACAAAGGATTCCAATACCTATGGTCCATATCTACTGATATTATGATAATTTTTTTGTTTTTAAATTTGGCATATCTATGGAGTAAAGCTCAAGTTTATGATAAGATTTGTGCAACCTTACCGACTGCTGTGAAACATAGCACAATTGAACATTGCTTCTGATACTTTTACATTAACCAAAAATCCTAGTCAATATTGCATCACTTTTTCTTTGTTATTGGCTGCAAATTCTATTATGATATTATGTTTTGCCACACGTTTGTTGTGTGACAATGAAAAATTTGTACATGTAGTACTGATGATCTAAAGATGACTGCTGCCGATTAACTCAGATTGTAAAATATTGCGAATCTGTATATCCTGTGTCTATTGTTGGGGGGTCCTTGCCTTGACTATGCTTCATTCATTTTCTTATTATATGTAAAGAACTGAATACTGGTCAATCCTTGGTTATAACATTATTGATAAATTTTATTTATTTTGGTTTCTTCATGTTGAATACTTACCTTGCTCCTTTACTTGACAGTGTTGTCATCAATCCCAATGAAGGATTCTTGAGGAATGGAAAGAATCCTGTTCTTGCAGTATTATCTGCTGGGCATGCTATGCATGTTTTTATCAATAGTCAGCTGTCAGGTTAGTAGCATACTTTTTATTATGTTTTATTACTTTTTATTATGTGTCCAAAATTAGGAAGTTATATAATCTTCAGCCTTAATATCATGAATTTAATGTTGTGATGTAACATTACAAATGTTATATAATTTTCCATTTTATGTTTTATTATTTTTTATTATGTGTCCAAAATTAGGAAGTTATATAATCTTCGGCCTTAATATCATGAATTTAATGTTGTGATGTAACATTACAAATGTAAAAATTCTTATATAATGCCAACTAATTTGGTTACATATATATTTTAAGGGAATAACATATATCTTTTTAAAGGATATAAGTTTATATCCTTTTAGATCCTAACCGCTGATTTCCGTCCATCAACGATTATAATTTATTGGATTAAAATTATTAATTAATTAATAATAAATTACGTTAATAAAAGGAAAAATCCATATTTTAATCAATTTGAATTTTCCAATCAGTTAATGAAAAATCCAATTAATTTGGTTGAAACATTGTCAAACTCATATAAAGATGCCTCCTCCCTTTATAAAAGTTCGAATTCTTATATTAAGGCACGTTTGTTTGAGATTTTTTAAATAAAAATGTACTCTTAACTAAAAAATGTGTTTAAAAATTTATTGATAATTAGACATGGGATTAACGACTTTCTCTTGTTATAAGAGATAATTTTATTTCCTTCAACTCAAAATGACGTCATTTTGGGATTTAAGATTCAAAATGAAAGATATTTTAGTAAAATTTATAATACAAGAGTAAAGTAAAATATTTAAAATATCCATTATTTTTAATCCTAAACTCTAAAAAAATATGACTTTGAAGTTGCAACAGATAAAATTATCTCATGTGATAGGAGAAATAAATTTTTCACTAGATATTTGATTTTAAACGTTGGGGAGGGTTAATTTATAAATTTTTTGTTTACAAACTGCACTATATATTCTAAAAAGTACACTAGGTTACACTATGTATTTTCGGGGGTACATATATAGTGTAATTTGCAAAATTTATAAAAGAAATTTGTAAACAAATCATTTCTTTTAAACGTTATAAACTATAAAACATCATTTTAATTTTCTTTTAAGTTAAAAGCTTGAATTTAATTAAAAAAATTTAAAACTTATAAAAAAATTCAAAAACTTATTCAAACAAGAAGAGGGTTATAGTTACAATTTTTTTTTTTTTATAAACTACATTATGTATTCGAGATAGTATTCTGTGTGCTGAAATGTACTATCCGTAATACATAGCGTAGTTTATAAGAGTCTATAAAGAAAAAGTTTGTAACTATAATCCTCCTCTTTAAACAAAGAGTTTTATAAGAGTTATGTTGTAGGAAAAGTGATTGTGTCATGTTACTGAGATTCGTTTTCCGTGTCTTTAGTTTTTTTTTTTTTTTTCAAAAAATGCGAACCCCGCAAAATGTTTTGTGTGTAGGAAATTTTATCATGTCATGTTAAAGGACAAATGAAAACCCCTTAAACAAACTTTAAAACTGCATTCAAATAAATTTAATAATAAAAATCTATTCAATGCATTTTTTTTCCTTCTCTATGGGCCACTTAACACATCTTAGTGGGACTCTAGCGATTTTTTTAAATGTTACTTCCACCTATAGAAGGACATTAAATCGTATATCTTTTACAGGAAAAGTGTTTGTCATTTAAAATGATATAATTTATGTCATTTCACTCTCACAAAGATATGAAATCCACACCTTTATTATTTTTTGTCCACTCTTTCTTCCCCTTTATCTATCTTTTTCTCTCACTTAAAATGACACAACTTTACATCCTTTAAAATGATACACATTTTTCCCATCTTTTATATTATGAAGGTTTTTTAAAACATATTTTCATTATAAATTTTTTTCCAATATTATTATCACAAGATAAGTATTTTTATAGAAATTATTCTCAAACAAAACAAATTTTAAAAAGTGATGTGTACCCTTTAATTTGTTTTAATATGAGTAAATACTTTTTTTGGTCCCTAACAAAAAACACGGTACCCATTTTAGTCTCTTACAAAAAAAAATTAGTTTCGAGGTCCCTGACAAATTCAAAGTGGAATCATTTAGTTGAAATTGTGGTCCCTCACAAATTCAAAAAAGACCCATATTAGTCCCTCAAATGGACTAAAATGGGTCCACTTTGAATTTGTCAGGGACCTCGAGATTAATTTTTTTTTGTAAAGGATTAAAGTGGGTACCGTGGTTTTTGTTAGGGACCCTAAAAGGTATTTACACTTTTAATATTTTTTGATTTGTTAACAAAAATGGCTTTTTTTTTCCTTTTAAAGAATGTAACAATTGGCCAACAAAATATTTGCTCTTGATTCATATATGTATTTTTTCATTAAAACAAACAAGGTTTATATGTATCAAGGCTTTTATTCCAATTTTGTCATATGCCTTATTAGGAGGATTTTTTGCAATCGAATATTAATGTTAGAGGCAATAGAAATTTAATTTCACCGGTTCAAATTTAAAGTTACACATAAATGCGTTAGCCGTTAGATCAAAAAAGATCAACGACTCTGATTTGTAAGCATGTGACAACATTGATATTTTTTGATCTAAGGACTCTCAGATGAGGTGTCAAACTTCAAATTTGACACCGGTGTCAAAGGATCCTACCTCTTAATGTTAATATTTATTTCTATTCTTTTGTATTTATCCTTTAGGACTGTTGGTAACGCAGTACAAGATAGTTTTAAGTTTATAGAAATTTAATTTCAAGTAATTATGAGAGTATTAATTCTTTTTTTATTTTATTTTTTGTATCACTAAATGCGTTATAACTTATTCTAGGCCAAACTTTTTTTAAATATAATAATAGAAATTAACCACATAACCTAATACAAATTATTCAAATCCCTCACCACTATTCTAAGCCAACTTCCTGATAAGCAGGTTTGATACATGAAAAGACTTCAAGTTTTTCCTAAGGAACCTTCGCTATCTGAAAGCATTTTAGAATATTCTGAGGAACCTTCACCCCAAGTTAATAGTTAGGAATTTTTTTTTATAAATATGAGTTCACTTTTAAGAACATAGATTGAGGTGGTTTGGACAAGTGATGAGAAGGCCCATCTTTATAAAAGTGAACTCATATTTATAAATTTTTTTTCCTAACTATTAACTTGGGGTGAAGATTCCTCGGAATATTCTAAAATCCTTTCAGATAGCAAATGTTCCTTAGGAAAAACTTCAAGTCTTTTCATGTATCACACCTGCTTATAGGAAGTTGGCTTAGAATAGTGGTGAGGGTTTGGATAATTTGTATTAGGTTATGTGGTTAATTTTTATTATTATATTTAAAAAAAGTTTGGCCTAGAATAAGTTATAACGCATTTAGTGATAAAAAAAATTAATACTCTCATAATTACTTGAAATTAAATTTCTATAAACCAACAGTCCTAAAGGATAAATACAAAAGAATAGAAATAAATGTTAACATTAATATTCGATTGCAAAAAATCCTCCTAAGGCATATGACAAAATTGGAATAAAAGCCTTCATACATATAAATCTTGTTTGTTTTAATGAAAAAATACATATATGAATCAACAGCAAATATTTTGTTGGCCAATTGTTACATTCTTTAAAAGGAAAAAAAAAGCATTTTTGTTAACAAATCAAAAAATATTAAAACAAATTAGAGGGTACGCATCACTTTTTAAAATTTGTTTTGTTTAAGAATAATTTCTATAAAAAAACTTATCTTGTGATAATAATATTGGAAAAAAATTTACAATGAAAATATGTTTTAAAAAATCTTCATAATATAAAAGATGGGAAAAATGTGTATCATTTTAAAAGATGTAAAGTTGTGTCATTTTAAGTAAGAGAAAAAGATAGATAAAGGGGAAGAGAGAGTGAACAAAAAATAATAAAGGTGTGGATTTCATATCTTTGTGAGAGTGAAATGACATAAATTATATTATTTTAAATGACACACTTTTCCCGTAAAAGATATACGATTTAATGTCCTTCCATAGGTGGCTGTAACAATTAAAAAAATCGCTAGAGTCCCACTAAGATGTGTTAAGTGGCCCGTAGAGAAGAAAAAAAAATGCATTGAATAGATTTTTATTATTAAATTTATTTGAGTGCAGTTTTAAAGGGGTTTTCGTTTGTCCTTTAACATGACATGGTAAAGTTTCCTACACACAAAATATTTTGTGGGGTCTGCATTTTTTGAAAAAAAACCTAAGACACGGAAAATGAATCTCAGTAACATGACACAGTCACTTTTCCTACAACATAACTCTTATAAAACTCTTAGTTGACATTATATAAGAATTTTTACATTTGTAATGTTACATCACAACATTAAATTCATGATATTAAGGCTGAAGATTATATAACTTTCTAATTTTGGAAACATAATAAAAAGTAATAAAACATAAAATGGAAAATTAATGTGTTAGGTGTCAGACACCAAAGATTTAGCAATATATATACCGATGTGAGCTTCCTCTATAGGAATCCAAAACCAAAAGAAGCAGCATTTGGCTTTCTTTCTTTTCTTCTGTTCTTCTCTCTTAGTGGTCATTTCTTTCAATTATGTCATCGAAGAAGAAGTCTAGTTTAGGTCGGCAAAAGATCCCTATTGAGAAAATAGGGAAAAAAAGTCATCTGCAAGTTACATTCTCTAAGCGTCGTTCAGGACTCTTCAAGAAAGCTAGTGAGCTTTGCACCCTTTGTGGGGTAGATATTGCAATTGTAGTTTTCTCTCCAGCTGATAAGGCTTTCTCTTTTGGCCATCCAGAAGTTGAGTCCATCATTGATCGTTATCTGACTCGAAACCCTCCACAAGAGTCTAGTGCTCACCTACTTGTTGAGGCTCATCGAAATGCAAATGTTCGTGATCTCAACATGCAGCTGACTCAGCTTCTTAGCCATTTGGAGATTGATAAGAAGCAAGGAGAAGAGCTTGATCATGTGAGGAAAGCTAGGCAGCGCCAGTTTTGGTGGGAAAGCCCTGTTGATCAGCTTGGCTTGCATGAATTGCTTCAATTAAAGGGTTCTATTGAGGAGCTGAAGAAGGTTGTTGGAAAACATGCTTCCAAATTCATGATGGACCAAAACAATATATCTCTACCAATTATTGGGGCTAATGGCTTTGGACGTTATGATGCTTTTGAGAACAAATATGCTGCTGGGATTAATATTGCTTCAACACCTCCTAATGCCGGTTTTCGGCATGGGTATCTTTGAATCGTTTTTTTTTTTTTTTTTTTCAGTTTCTTTGGGTTTGCTTTTAGATCCATAGAAGTGATCATAAACTAGTACCTGACTAGTTTTATTATTAGCTTTTTCTTTTTCAATAACAACGGTTGAAGAACAATCATGGTTGAAATAATTTGTCCTTTCACCAAGGATACCTCATGAATAAAATTTCACATTTACCTTTACTGCTTTTGTTGCTGTTCTTGTAGATTTCTTTATTCAAATAAATGTTTATAATTTATAACTCATGGGTATATATTCTTTCTATTACAACAATAACATGAAGGTTTCAACCTAACACATATATATCCCCTTTAAATAACTCAAATTCTTTACCATGCCCACTTCAGCTCTAATGACTTAAACAAACCTCCCAAACAAACTTGGAATAGTGTAGACCTTTTTGGGACAAGGCGAAAGGAAAGAACAGGTGACAAATAGAGAGAGAGAGAAAAAAACGTTATCAATTGAAGATAGAATCAATATCAAAGGAAAAAAATACAAAGCACAAAGAATTACAAACAACATCACGGACAACAATTTAACATTGTGTGAGCATTCAGACATTATTCCTTAATGTTTTTAGAAAATTTTATATAAACATGGTATTCGGAGCTGTTTACTTGGTAAGTAACACTGTTGAATTCAGATACACATCACCTCTTCTTCAAAACATGGTATACCCAGTTACTTAGCTAGTTATTTAGCAGCATACCTGAGTGAGATATACTTTCAGGGTAGACTCTCCAATGGACAAGTGATTGCAGTCAAAAGGTTGTGAAGAGATTCTGGCCAAGGAGATACTGAATTTAAGAATGAAGTGCTTTTAGTGGCCAAGCTGCAGCACCGAAATTTAGTTTGACTACTTGGTTTCTGCCTGGAAGGAAGAGAAAGGCTACTTGTCTATGAATTTGTTAATAAAAGCCTTGATTTCTTCATATTTGGTACGTTAGTGTATCTGCATAATTAGACTGTTGCTCTATTACTTTAGTTCTGGTTCAAGTACTCAGACTAACTACTAAACGTAACTTTAAAATTCATATGGCTTCGGTTTATATGTAGATCCAACCAAGAAAGTGCAACTGGATTGGAAAAGGCGCTACAAAATCATTCGGGGTATAGCTCGTGGCCTTCTTTACCTTCATGAGGATTCTCGACTGCGCATTATACATCGTGATCTCAAAGCAAGCAACATTCTTTTAGATGAAGAAATGAATCCTAAGATATCAGATTTTGGCATAGCAAGACTGTTTGTGGTGGATCAAACTCAAGGCAATACCAGTAGAATTGTTGGAACATAGTAAGTATTCAAATGTGTTATTATAAGAGCTTTATTTCGATCAACTGTTAAAGTATAATTTTTAACATCATCATGACTCAATCTTGTATTGATAAGTTATTCGAAGAATTTTATATTTTAAATAGTCAAGCTATTTATTTATTTTGATACAATACATGATATCATGCAAAGTATCCAAATCTCTTGACCCTCATCACTACACCAATCCTAGTTACTTAGAGTCAAGCTATTTTAATGATACCACATTGTATGACTGACAGGTAGTTTAAAATACATTTACACTAATAGGAAATCAAAATTAAAACTTTGTTATAAGTATCATTAGCCTTAGCAACTGAATCAGTTTGAAAATTTAAGATTGTAAAAAGACTCATAACATTTATGGATAATTAAGCTTGTCCATGTTGGCATGTAGTGGGTATATGGCACCTGAGTATGCACTGCATGGACTGTTTTCAGTGAAATCAGATGTCTTCAGTTTTGGAGTACTGATTCTTGAGATTGCAAGTGGCCAGAAAAACAGTGGAATTCGTCATGGGGAGAATGTAGAGGATCTACTGAGCTTTGTATGTCTTTCTTTTCTCACTATTATATCTTCTTTGCCATTAAAAGTATGGATTAGAAGATTACATGCTCCTATATACACATTAATGTTGAAGTGGAATCGGTGACTTAATTAATAGTATCGTCTATGATAGAGCAAATTCTTGCAGGCAAGGAGAAACTGGAGGGAGGGGACAGCTACAAATATTGTAGATCCATCATTAAACAACAGTTCGGGAAATGAAATGATGAGACGCATCCACATTGGTTTACTCTGTGTTCAAGAAAATTTAGCTGACAGACCAACAATGGCTGCCGTTGCACTAATGCTTAATAGCGATTCTCTCACTCTCCAGGTACCTTCAGAACCTGCATTTTATATGGACAGTAGAACTAGAAGCCTTCCACACATGCAGTCATGGCCATAGGTGTATAATTCAAGGGCAAGAAGATCAACTTAACTTAATTGAGCTCAAAAATCAGTAGATGAGGCTTCAATTAATATCCTTGCTAGATTTTGGTCATCGTGGTGATATTTATATGCTTTTTCGATTCAAATAAACAACATAAATCTTTATATTTTTATTTCTAATATTTGAGAATTGAGATATATTCTACCGAGCTTGGGGGCATGAGTGCAGTAGTGCGTATGAGGTCCATTCCAACAAAACACGAAGAAAGTAATAGTCGGGCATGCCCTCACCCACATTGGTCTCAATTATATTTGCCATTTTACCGTTTCTTTATACTTCTTTTTAAAGATCAATTTTGATTCCTAAAATTGTTAATTATTTAAGATGCGTTTTATTTGTTTTCTATTTTCATTTAATATGTATTATTCAGAATTATAAAAATATTATTTCATTTTTTATTTTTAAAGGTTTATTAAAAAATGTTAACAACAGGTCTGTTACACTCTTCTTTTAAATTTTTGTAATTATTGAATAAAATTTCATATACATTCTACCTGTATAGCACGGACGCGGTCTGAAAATTTGCGTGTCCGACACGGACACGCTCCGACACGCGTTCGACACGCGGTCAACATTTGGGGACACGTGGTCAACTCTCTGACATATTTTTTCGACACACAGTCAACTTTTTCAGATACGCGGTCAATGTTCGGACACGCTCGGACACAATTTTTTTTGTTTTTTTATTTTTAAATCTTAATTTTATTTTGTTAACTAAATATAAAAGAAATAATTTATAAATTAATTTTTTTCTATTAAAATTTGACATGAAAAATTAACAAAGTACGAAAAATTATTTATATTTATGTTATAAAATTTAAATATTTGATTGGTTATATGACTTATTATGAATTTTTATGTATTAAATATAAATTATATTATACATATATTAAAAATTTTATTTAATATCAAAGCGTGTCCCAACGTGTCGAAATATGATATTTTTTAAAATTAACGTGTCGTCGTGTTGTGTCTCATATCCTGTGTCCGTGCATCATAGCATTCTACTATATAATTCGCCTCACTCATTATTATTCGCACGATGATAGTGTAGAAAAGAAAGTGTCCAAGAGTTTCTTGTTAACTTTTCATCTATAAAACAAAAAAATAAGATATTATGATTATTAACAAAGAGGGAGGTTATATTTAATATTTTTTTCTTACTATCTCTTAGTCTTTAATTACTAAATCTTAACAATTGATTTCCGTCAATCTAACAGTTATAATTTTTTGAGAATTAATAAGTGTGACTCAATAAATTATAACCGTTAGATTGACGAAAATCACTGGTTAAAATTTTGTAGTAAGAGGTAGTAAATAAACCTTTTCCGTTAATGAAATCATATAAATTAAAATATAAACCAAACATATTCCTATATTTTATTTTTTATATAATTCTTTTCATATAAGTTTTTATAATTTTATTAAGGTTTTGATATTTATAAAATTAATATATTGATAAATTGGATTATAAGAAGCAATCGTTCGTTTAAAAAAACTCTTTTCAGTGGGAACTTGAGAAGATTTATGTTTCCTTGAGTGGTCTGCACTGAACCGTCAAATTAGTTTGCGGATGGAAATGAGAAAAAAATTCAATAATTTTTTTTACGGTTAATTTTTTTTTTGAATTATATAAATATTAACTTGTTTCTTTGCTTTAATATTCTTTTTTGTTTTCTTTATTTAATAAAATAAAAGCGGAATCAAAATAGCCTATTCACAATTTAAGAAAGTTTTTAAAAATAAACATTGACCATCATTGACAATTTGACATTTTATTTAATGTGGACCCGAGCAGCTGTATTTTTTTTATTTTTTTTTTAAAAAGCGCACTTTTAATGTTATTTACAAATCTTAACGCATCTTTAATCTTGAATAGTATGTTTCGGGTATAAATTTCTTAACACTAGAACAATAGTAGAAACGTTTCATCTCTTCGAATAACAAGCTCTACAATCATCACCTGAAATTTATTATTAATCAGACATAAATTATATATTTGACTAAACTGTCAATTTGTTATATGGTGAACTTATGAATCTTTTCAAATAGAGATATGATCCGTTTATAATTTTTTTTTTGCAAATTACATTAAGTACGATCGGTCGTACACTGCATGATTAAAGTATAACCGGTCGTACTTAGTGTAGTTTGTAAGAGTTTATAAACAAAAAAGTTTGTAAATATAACCTGCCATTTTCAAATAAACAATTATTCTTTGAATTTTTGGAGGTATTTTCGGTGGGAATATGTTTTTATTATAGGGGGCGTTTGGTAGAGGATAATTTTTTTTTTATTAGGGAAATATGATTACTAAGAATATAGTGGGAAAGTGAGTTTGGTAGGAAAGTTTAAAAAAAGTTGTTTGGTAGGCTGAAATATTATCGGGAAAATTGATTTTAGTTTGCTAAGTCTATGTCTGGTTGAAGGTAAAATATAGGTGAAAAAATATGATTAAATTATCACAACAACCCTTGACTAAAATAAAATGGAAAAATATGATTTTAGTTTGCTTTAGTTTTTCCAAACATCAGGGTCATTTTGGTCTCCTTGCTTGCAATCTTTTTTGGATTTCTCCATCTATTAGCAAATACCACCTTGTAAGTGGTATTATTCAATAGTATTTTTTACACACAAAAAGCAAATACTAGGTAAATGACTTTCCTAACAATTTTTTAAAACATGATACCAAACATGGACATCCAAAAATACAACTTCCATTTGCCTAACTAGTTGTACTCATCGCGGTACGTAGATGTGTCCCATGGAGGGTAAAGTATGTTGATATAGGGGTGTCCATAGTGGTCTTGGTAGAGACCAAACCACTAGTGAAGCTTCCCATGATGTGCATAAAGGGAGGGTGTGTGAGAGTGGCTAGGGTGGCTCTCCATCATCACCACAGTTGAAGCTGAGTGGAGGAGAAGAAGTCCTCTCTCTCAATGTCAGAGGGGGTATTTAGAGCAAGAGCCCTAGTCAACCTAGTCAGGCTAGGCATGCTGAACCCCTGCCCTTGTACAGGGGCAGCTGGTGTGCATGGGGAAGAGGGGGCATCCTATGATACCTTCTAGAAGTGGACCTTTTAGATTGGACCCAGTAGTGAGCCTATGCATGTGGGCTATCCAGAACCGCCATAACAAAAACTTGTACCATACACTCCCAAGATATTTTTTTCCCCCACTTATTTCTCAATGAATTTAATGAAAAAGGTTCATGTTTCCACATTTTCCATTCTTCTGTTATCTGGTTTTCCCAGGGGATTTTTGTTTTTTATGAATTAGTTAAAAAGCAAATATGAAAAGTACAAACTAATGATTGTACGAGACATGTAAATTATGCTTATTAACAGATCATTTTGCTACATTCCTTGATCACGCTGCGTTGGTCCATGAAGCAAATACAATGTGTAATATGTTTTGTCTTAGGCAGTCTTCATTGTCAGAGCAACAATCCAATGTGACTGTCTGGTTGGGCCTTTCTAACAAATTCCGGACAACGACCATTTCATCATGTATTGGTAAGAAATTTATTAGAATGCCACGTACCAATAAAATTTTATCACAATATCAGGTTACCTAACTTACTTTAACTCATAGCGAGTTAGGTATACATATGTGACAGCTTTTTTAAGGCCACGTAATTTTTTTTTTTTTGGAAACTGATCCTAATTATCTCTTTGAGGCGAATCAGAACCTCTTGGTATTCCCACGGGTTCGACTTTTTGAGCCGCCTATAAGACTAATCCAGAGTTCGGGTGCGAGTTCAAGGATTACGGTACTTATGCCCCTCCCCAGATGGTGTTGGTGGGATTCGAACCGAGGTCCTCTCCCACCACTCAGTCCCCATGCTACCAACTGAGCCACCCCACTTGGGTAAGGCCACGTAATTTGTATAATATACAGTGTAGTGGTTTTGGCCAATCAACTTGTCAATCAACGTGACACTTTTCTAACACAAAGTCGCTGCTTATTCCAGCGAGTTTAGGAG